CTGTTTTTTAAACTAATACTTTGCCTATTTATATTTATTAATATTTTAAAAAAAGGTTAATTTTAAAAAAAATATTAGGTAGGTTTTACAAGGTTAATAAGGTTTTTAATACAGGGGAGTAAATAACCATTCTTAATAATTTTTTAGTTTAATAATTAATAATTAATATATATATACTATTTGCCACTAGGCTTTAGGATAAAAATAACTAAAAATTTTTAAAGGCTAGTAAAAACATGAATAATACTTTTTTTAAGAGCTTAGTAAGTTACTTTTTTAACTTTTTAAGTTTTTTCTGGGAGACCGGATAAAAGGGTTAGTTAATAAAAGGGAAATTACCTATATTAATATTATAAATTATATTTTATTTTAAAAAAAGAGTTAATAAAAGTTTTTTTTTAAATTAATTTATAAACTCTTAAGTAATTTTTTTAACTAATTTAAATGCCTTAAATTCCTTTTCCATGCCCTTATTTTAATTAGGATTAAGGTAAATAATTATAAAAAAGGCTTGCTAGGTTTACTTTTATAGCAGGCGCTTAACTTACTTTACTAATATAATTTTTAAAAAAGTCTAAATACTGCTAATATTAGGTTAAGTTTAAATAGGCTTAATAATAAAAAGGTGTTTTTTATTAATAGCAAGAAGATGCATTTTATTAATACTAAAATTTATTTTTAAAAAATATTTATAAAGCTAGTCCTTTCCTAGAATAATATTATATTTTAAAATATTTATTTTTTATAAATAATAAATATACTTCTAACTACTAAGCGCGAGTAGTACTTAAAAGCTTTTATATACTTTTACTTATTATTTATTAGCTATAATAACTTTAAGTTTATTAAGCAAGCCCTTTATTTTATATAGTTATAATAAGTATAAATACTTTTTATTAATAAAAAATTATCCTGCGCTTATATTAATAAAAACTTAAAGGTACTTAATACTAATAAGGTTAGTGCTAATACTTACCTAGTATTATAAAATATTTTTATTAATAGTATATAATTTAATTTTAATAACTTAAAAAATAAATAATATTATACAAGGCTTGGGGTCCTCCTGCTTTAGGTTTTTAAAAATTTTTTTAAAAAGGTTAATAATAGTAAAAAAAACATATTTAAAAGCCTTTATTATTTTAGTTATTAATACTTTTAAATTTAATAACTAGTTTTATTTTTTAGATAAGGTGGCTTGGGATAATTAGGGTAAAAATACTTGTTATTATTATAATTAAAATAAAAATAATTATAAGTGCACTATCTCTTCTAGCTAATATTATTAAGGTTTAGGTTAGTATTAAATATAGGGGCGGATTAAAGGTTTTATACTTTTTTTTTCAATTATTTTAACTAGTAGGTTAATAACCTTAATTATAACCTTTTAGTGCAGGATTTTTAACTAGGGCCTTAATTAAAGTAATTTTAGTAATATTTAAATTTATAGTATTTAGGTCGCGGCAGCTAGATTTTTTACTAAAATTAAAATTATATAAAAAAAATAATTACTAAAGTTTTTTTAAGTAAATCTTTTTATATAAAGGCTTTATTTATATAAGGTAAAGTATTTAATTATTACTTTAAAAGTAATAAAATAATTATAATTATAAGTTTATTTAACTTAAAGTTTAGACTTGGCCCTGTTAATAAAATTTATAATTTAAACCTTTATAAATATAGGGTGTTTAAGTAAGCTAATAATAACTTAAAAATAATTATTATAACTTTATATTTTAATACTATTTTAGGCTATATTTTAATATTAAAAATAGTGTTTTTAAGTACTAAAATACTCCTTAAAATTTTAATAAACTTAATTTTTAAGTTACTTAAAAGTAAAGATTTATTTAGGTATAGTTTTTTAATTTTTTTTAAAACTAGCAAGCATCCTAGCGCTTTTTAGCCTGGCTAGTAAAAAAGTTAATAATAATTAGGATTTTTTTATACTTATTAAAGTTTTAGCTATAAAAAATATACTTATTATAAAAATAATAATTTATATCTTAAATTTATATTTTAGCTATATTTAAGTTAATATAGCCTTTATACTTAATAATACTTTTAAAATTAAAAATTTTTTAAATAATTAGTTTTTTATTAAATAGTTAGCCCCGGGTATTTTCCTGGCGCTTATAAAATAAGTTATTTAAAATAATAAATTAAATAAATAGCCCTTAGGTTTTTTTATTTTAGCTAGTTTATTTTTAAAAAAACTTAACCTTTATATACTATAAGTTATACTACGCGATAACCGCGGGGTTAATAGGGTTAATTAGGTTTATAAGGTATTTTATAATAATTAATTAATTAAAGTTAAATAAAACACTAAAAAAGAGTCTTAATAAATTAAAAATTAAATAAAAAACTTAGTTAAAATAGTTAATATTTTTTTTTTATTTTTTTTAATAATTTTTATAACACAAGTATTACCCTTGCTTAATACCCTTAATTATTACCCTTACTTTAAAAAGCTAGTAATAATAATAGTTATTATAAAATTTTTTTTATATAATTAAGGTTAAGTTACTAATTAAAAAACCTTTAAACTTTTTTATTTATATAATTAAAAATATAATCTTTTAATTAAATATATAGGTAAGGTAATAACCCTTGCTATTATTAATTATAAAAAAAATTTTAACTATTTTACTACCCGAGCGCGAAGTTTTTTAAAATAATAATTAAATAAATATTTTTTACTAGTGTTAATAAAAGGGGTTTTTAGGTTAGGTAATTATTAATTATTTTTACTAATATTTTTAGTATAGCTTTTATTTAGGCCTTTTAAAAATTTTTTAAGCTTTAGTTTTTTTTTTTTTACTAGGAAGGTATAGGCGGTGTTAAGTAATTTATATTATTAATAAGCCTTGCTATAAATATATTATTAAGTAACCTTAGTAATTAAGCATAATAATTACCTTATTATTATATTTAATTAAATCCTATAGTATTAAAAAAGCTTATTAATTAAATAATTAAAAATATACTATTAAATATAATAATACTAGCACTAGAAATTACCCGGCCACTAAGGCTAGGTAATTAAAAAAAATATATAAAAAAAAAACTAAATATAAAATTATTTAAAGGTTTTTTATTAAGGCTTATAAGCGCTTTATATAACTTTTATTTAGGGTGATAAGGCCTAAATATTATTTCTTAAGGCTACTAATATCCCTAGGCCTTGGCATTGCCACGGCTGATAAAGTGGCCTAAGGCATTGACACCGTTGATGAAACCACAGGGCTATAAATAGGTAAACTAAGTAAGTAAATTAAGTAGGTAAATTAAGTAAGTAACTAAATATAGGCTATTAATATTTTATAATAAAGTTTTATAATAAAGGGCTTACTTACTAAAAGGCAGCTATTTATAATTTTTAGTTAAAAGCCTTATTTTTTTTTATAATAAGTACTATCTTAACTACTATTATTAAAAAATAATATTTTAAATGGATTATATAGCCTGGTTTTAATTAATATTTAATATTTAGCTTAAAGCTAGCTTTTAAGTTTATATTATTATTAAATAAATACTTTTAGCCTAGGGGCCGGCCCCCTAAAGTTTAATAATAAATTAATGCTTTTTATAAATATACCTAGCTTATTATTTTTTTATATACTAAAGTAGCCTTTATATAAGTATATAAATTTACTATAGTTTATAAAAAAATAAGCAGGTAAACTAAGCAAGTAAATTAAGCAGGTAAATTAAGTAAGTAAACTTTAAAATTATAACTTTATATAATTATTACTTTTTTAATAATATATTTAAAAAATAAAATATAAATAAGTACCACCTATAGCACCCCGGGCTATAAATAACCTTTTTAATATTATATTTTATACTTAATTAGCTTACTTAAGTAGGTTTAAACCCTAGTAATTATAGCTTAATTAAATTTTATAATTATTTTTTTATATTATAATATATTAAAATATTTAAATTATACCTAGCATGGTATTATATAAATAACCTTTAAAATTTAATATTTTTTATAAAAATAATTCTACCCTTAAATTATTTTATAATCCCTTTTAATATTATAAAAAGCTAGCTATAATACTAATAGGAACTAAGCTTGCTTACTATTTAATAATTTATTAATATTAAATTACTAAGAAAAATAATTTACTAGCTTTAACCGCGGCGCTACGCGCCGCGGCCTATGCTAGTTAATATTACTTAACCCCTATAAGTTTATACTATAAACCAATAGGATGAAATAGCTAAAATAAAATATCTAATTAAGGCCTTTTATAATAAATTATTAAAGCTAAAATTGACAAAGAAGTAAAAAGAGTAAGTGATTAGAAAGCTTATTATAATAAATATTGCCTGCTTAAATAAATAGGGCTTTTACCAAGTAGCGAAGCTACTAGGAAGTACTATCTTTATTATACTTCCCCAAGGACATCCCGGCCGACGCAGACCCGCCCCCTTCGGCAACTATTTTTGGAGCAGCCTCTTCGACGGCATCATGGTCAAATCAACCAAATCAACTGGAACCCCTATCTGAGTACTTAGGTCCCTAAGCCGGTCCGTTGCCACCGGCGACCATTGGTTAATGTCGGTATCTATCCACCTCAGCCGCAGAGTAACACGGCGTAGATGCGGCGTGTACGCACCCCATTCCTTTAACCACGCATAAAGCAGATCCATGATAGCGTGATCCTTCCATTTTCATTCATGCAACTCCTCTGTTATGTGGTCCTTATTCTGTAGCGCCAGGTTATCCGTGATGGTAAGGAACACAAATATTCCGGGGCACCACATCTTGCGGTCGTTTTGTCGTGTCGCGTGCAAATCCTGCTAGGAATGCTAGTGGGATTTGAAGCCAATTGATCATGCCAAAATCTACCATGGCCTTCATCGAGCCCTGTGTTTCCACAGCCGGGTAGAATTGGTCGCCAGCCCCCAAACCACAATCGGCCGTGATGGTCAAGTCTGTCAGCGTTGCCCAAACCCGCGATATCGCGGCAGATATCTGGTCCAGGTCAATTGTCTGCGTCGTGAACAACATGAACCCCTGCATCGTAGTAGCAGTCCCAGCGGAGCGTTTGAAGGTTCTCTGTCACCGCGAGCACATCTCCCAAGTACGCCTCTCTTATGCAAGTTAAATCGAGTGAGGTAAGATTGGATGGGGTCGGTAAGTGGGCAGCGGGCCATGTCCACGCATCCGGGGTTTGTATGGCCGCTGACATGCGCTGAAGATTGTGAAGATAGAAGAACGGCAAGAGATCCGCTGTATTTTTGACCTTCCTGTCGCACGCCTTGTCGTGGCTCTGAGGTCGGAGCAAAGTCACATCTTGGAGGTGTCGAAAGTCGGGGAGACTACGATCTGTACCCTCGCAGATGGCCGACCGCAGAACCATGCCAATAAGCGCAGTTTGTCGCGTGAATGAGGGACCAAGATACAGAGCCCTCAGGCTCGGTAAGCGTGCTAAAAGAAGGGCAACGACGGCATCTATTGAGCCATCGCGCAGGGACTGAACCCACCGCTCGCTGTCGGGAACGCCAGTACATTAGATAAACCGAATTGGTTCATCTATTTCATGCTCGGGGACGCACAGTTTAGGCAATTTCCATCGAAAGGCATGGATATCGTGAGCGTTGCCGTCCAGATGAAGGTTCTTGACGTAGCGAACCAACTGAGGACAGGAAAAGAGCGTGCGCAGGAATTCAATGATTGGAGGAGGTTGTTCAGGGGTGGCGTAGTAATCAGGGTTCTTCTGCCAGGTGAATTGGATCTTCGAGTAGAGAAATGGCTCAGCGACTGAGCGGAAAGCCTTATTGACATGGCATAGCGCTCGATGTTCGCGGAACGACAGTAGTTTGGCGACGAGGTGCATGCTGGAAGTGGGTGCCTGAGGCCACCGGCGGCCTTAGGGCTCCGGTGGAGGAAGGTTCTTCCGGCCTAAATAACCACTTGTAAAACTCTTTATTTATCCCTAAAATATTTAGCTTAATACACTAAGTAATATAAAAAACTTTTATATATAATAATTATTTATTTTTTTTAGTAGGTTATAAGCCCGGATTTACTTAACTTATATACTTAATTAAAAGTTTTTTTTTTAAGTTAACTTATATTAACTAGATACATGGCATCTTCTTATTTTACCTATTTAATTTTATATTTTTTTTACAACTTTACTAATTACTATAATAATTAAAAAGCCTTATGCTTAGGGCAAAGGCCTTACTACAAGGGTATAAATACTATTAACTTTATTTTAAGCTTAAAACCTTTTAAAAGAACTTTTAAGGTAACAAGGGCGCTAAGCGCCCCTAAAAAAACTTTAAATTTAGGGGAGATATAAAGCCTATATTTAAGCTGGTACTTATAGCTTAAATTAGCTTAAATTTTAAGCAAGAGACTATTTAAAATAGTTTTATTTAATAAATTACCCTAAATAATAGTTATATATAATATATTACTTATAATTACTTTTTATTTTAAGATTTTAAGCCCTATACCAGCCCTAATATTAAGGGTATTAACCTTAAATTTTTTAGTACCTAGGGTATTAGTATTATTAAAATCCCTTATTATATTAATAACTAGTTTAAAATTTTAACTTTAAATAATATTTTATATTACCTAAACATGTTTTTTATATTAATATTTATTTTTTAACTATTAAATAAGTATTACTTAGTTAGCTTTAGCTAGTAAAATATAAAAGCTAAAAAACTATAAAATATTAATATTATTATTTTATATAGCTATAAATTAGCTTAGTATATAGTTATTAAAGTTTATAAAGTATTTTTTTTAACCTTTATTAAGGTTTAGTAATACCGGCTATTTTAATACTAGTAGCCTTTATTTTTTAAAATAAATTTTTTTAGCTTTAATATTAATAAATAAGTTATACCTTTAAAAATTAGCTTAATAAAATAAAAAAGGTAATTTATAATATATACATGCTTAAAGGTTATATTTATAAATTTTATATTATTATATGCTAGCAGGCCAAGCCTTATAAAAGTATTATAATATTTATTAATTAATTATTTAAATTATTTTATATAAATATCTCCGGCTTATATTTACTTTTATTTAATAAAAAAATATATATAAGCTTTATTATAAATAATAAATTTTATTATTACTAAATTATAATACTAGCTAGCAAGAATAAATTTACTACCTAGGTTTTTTTTATTATTTACTAATATAATATACCTAAACTCTTGCTACGCCGTGTATGCTATAATTAAGGGGGGAAAATATTTATAACCTATAATACCTTATTTATAGCTTTAAAGTTATTATAAAAATATTTAATATAAACTAGCATAAATAAAATAGCTATATTAAAGTATTTATTAATAAGTTACTTAATTTTATATAATTTATATTATATAATACTAGAGCCCTAGCTAATATATAATTTAAGTTTTATAAAAATACTAGTTATTTATATAATTAAACTTTATATTTTATATTAAATAATATTATATTATTTAAAGCCTAGTATAGCCACTAGCTAAATATTTTTTATATTTATATTTTTTAGTTTAAGGTTTATGTTTTAAACCTATTAAAAAAATAAAAAAAGCTTTATAAAAATGGTAAAACAAGAACTAAAAGGCTAGTTAGGTTTAATAAAAAAATAAATAAATTATACTAGGTTTTTTTAAATAATAGCCATGTGGTTTTAGTATATAATATTAATATTATTAAAAATTATTATATTAAACTAATTTTTTTACTAAAAGTAATTACTTTAGTGCTTTTAGGGACCTTTATTTTTAAGACCTTACTAAAAGTTACTAAAACTTTAAGCTTTGTAGGGATTTTTATTCCCAAGGCTTTACTTTTTTTAAGAATTTTTATTTTTAAGGCACTTTTTAAAGCTTTAAACCCTTTAGGAATTTTTATTTTTAAGGCACCTAAAGTTTTAGTATTTTTAGGAATATTTATTTTTAAAAACTTACTAACTTAAGCTAATACTAACCTAAATACTAAAAAAAATTTTAAAAATAAATTTTTAAAAAGCCTAGCTTTTAGGAACCTTTTTAGGTATATAAATTTTAAAAATTTAATAATAAAAGTTATTAATTTAATTATTAAAGTTAATATGTTTTTAAAAAACCTAAATTTTAGTTTTTAAAATACTAGCCTAGTATACTATACACACGCCTAAGCTATTATTAATTTTAAAAAGGCTTTTTAAATTTTAAATAAGCTAGCTTATTTATTTTATTTTTAAATATTATTAAAGTTATATAAAATAGGATTACCCTAGCTAGTAAATTTTATTTAAATAATTTTTAAGTACTAGCTAGCAAGCCTGGCTTAAATAATATTTTAATATTAATTATAATACTTTATAAGTAAATTTTTAAAAAAAATAAATTAATAGTTTAGCAAGCTAAAGTTAAAAATAAATAAAATAAGTAATTTAAGGGCATGTAAAATAAATATAATTTTTTAATAAAAAATAAAACCTAAAATCTTATTAACTTACCCTTTAAAAAATACTTGCTTCTTGGTAAATAGGTCCTAAAAATTAAAAAAAAATTAAAAAGCTAAATTTTTTATTATAAAGCTTATTAAGTAGTTTAAAACTTTAAGTAAGTTTATAGGCTTAATTATTATAAAACCTTTACTAGGGTAATAAAGCTAATAAGTTATAAGCTTTTTTTTATTATTACCACCGCGCTAAACCTTAAAATTAAATAAATAAATATAAAAATAATATTTTTATATAAAAATATTAATATTATAATTTTTATAAAATAGCCTTATTTTTTTATTAATAGCTTTAAGTATATTTACTAGCTTTAAAAGGCTTTTTATAACCTAAAGTAAGTATTATAAATTTAATATTAATTACTTATAAATTTTTTAGTTATACTAGGCTTTTATTTTATTTATTTAAACCTAAAAGTTTTTATTAATAATAAGATTTTTATTATTATATATATAAATAATTTCCTATTAGTTAGTAAAAATAAAGCCTAAATTTAAAAAATTAAAAATACCTTAAATAAGTACTTTAAAATATTTAATTTTAGCTCTTGCTATTATTATTTTAGTATAAAGGTTTATTAAAATTAGGCTAATTAAATACTTTAGCTTTTTTAGCTTAGCTATATAAATAAAATCCTTTACTAGTTTAATATAAATAATTTTAAGGTTTATAATATATTAATAAATTTTTACTTAAAGCTAAAGCCTGCTTTTAAAAAGTACATGGCTTTAATAAATATTTTAAAATAATATTAAAGCATTATTAGGTCCCTAATATACCTTATATTAGGTACTTAGGCTAATATTACCTATCCCGTGTTTATTTTAAGCTATTTTCTTACTAAACTTATAAAAAAGCATATAATAATTATTAAGCGCGTGTTTTATTACCTTTAAGACTTTATAAATTATAAACTAATATTTTTTAAAAATTTTTAACCACTAACTAGCTATACTAATACTAATTAAAATAAGAATTTAAAAATATATTATTTTATTTTTAAATATATATTTTATATAAGCTTTATAATTATTAGCTAGTTTTTTAAGTATTAGCTTACCATGGCCCTATTTTTTTATAAAACTAAGTATATAAAAGAAATATAAGCTATTAAAAAGGCTATTTAGCTTTGCTACTTGCTAGGGAAGCTTATAAATATTTAAAAAGTAAATTTTATAATTATTATAATTTATAGGAATAATAAAGATATTATAGTACTAGCTAGTAACCCCTAATTTTATACTTAAAGTAAGTATATTAATATTTAGTATTATTTTATTTAAAAAAAAAGCTAAAAGCATGGTTAATATCTAGTTTATTTTTACTAAAAAATAAATAGTAAATAGCCTTACCAAGCTATTAAGGCCTAAAATATTTAAATACTTTAAAGCCTTACTAGGAATTCTCCCTAAGCTTATATAAGTAGGTTCTTTAGTAATTTTTATATTAAAATTAGCCTTTTTTATATTAAACTTATAATAACTCGTGTATTATAAAATTATATTTAATTATTTTTATTTTTAGCTTATTATTATTTTATCCTTATTTTTAAGGGTTAACCTTATAGTAAAGGTAATATAATATTATATTATTTTAAAACCTTACCCTAGTTTTATATAATACCTTAACTATAATATTAAAAATTAATATATTTTTAACTTAATTTAATAAAACTTTTAGTGCTTTTTATATTTACCCGCGGGAAATCTTATTTTTAAATATTAAAATATAAGCTTACTAGCGTGGCTAGCTTATTAACTACCTTAATTAAAATTTTTATTTAATATTTTTTAAGCTTTAAAGCGTGATTATATTATATGGTTAATAGCTTTTAAAACCCTAGGGCTTTTTTAAATTAAGTAGCTAAATAATTTTATTAGCTTTTAATACATGTGGGCTATTATAGTAATCTTATCCCTTAATAAAAAAGATTTAAAAAAAATATTATTATTTAGGACTATAATTTTTATTATAATCCCACTAGCCTACGCCTTAAGGACTTTATATTTAGGGCTTAATTATATTTATTATAAATACTAGGCTAATATTATATTATTTAAAACATGTGGTATTATACTAGTACTAAGTTTTTTTAAAAAAAATTAATACTTAAAATATATACTTTAATAACTTTAATATATTACTATACTAGGTAACTTGCCCTATATTAAAAATTAAGATTTTTAAATAACTTACTATATACTAGTTTATTATTACTAGCTAATAATATTTTTTATATAAACTAGGCCTTATTTTTACTCTTAAAATAGCTTTTATATGCTTTAACATTTATTATTACTTTTTTAATTATAAAAAGGCTATAAAATTTATAAAAAAGCTAGTAAACATGCTAGCTAAGCCTTAAATTTATAAATTATTTAATTTATTACTTATTATTTAATTTATCCTGGGCTACCTAGTGCTTAAAGCTTTTATTAAAAGTTTATTATTTTATATATTTTATTATTATTTATTTATATTTTTAGGAATTGCTTTAGCTTATTAATACCTAAAGCTTTTATTAATATTTATTATTTTTATTATTTTAATTATTAGCTTTTTAATACTTATTTATAAATTATGCTTTTAAAAAAGCCTTTTTTTAGTATTAATAACCTATAACTTATTAATTTAAAAAAAACTTTTTTTATACTAGTAGCTTATAGCTTATTAATTTAAAAAAGTTTTTAGTATAAATAAAAAAAAATATTAAAAATAAATATTTAAGGTTACTAACAGCCTTAGGGCTTTAATAAAAAAAGGTTTTTTTAACTTAAATAGCTACCTATAAAACTTTTTATTTATTTTTAAAATATTTAGCTTAATATACTAAGTAATACAAGAGACTTCTACATACAGTAACTATTTATTCCTTTTAGTAGTGCAACAGCTTGGGTGGACAGGCGTTCCAACCGGTTGGCTCTTGCTTCTAATATCATTAGCATGGACCTTTTTTCTCCAGACGCAAGGTTGAACATGCCGTTTTCATTGCCGGTTGATCGACTGTTTGTGTATTGTGGGAAGTAATGGATGACGAATGAGACTTGAGGCAAGCTGTCCCTTATTAGGTGCCTGATCTAGCCTCAGTCGCTGGTTTTTAGTTTCTCCACGAGGCACCAAATCTCCGTTCTTCTCGATCCTTCTCGCCCCAACCACCAGCCTCAAAGTGTTACCTTATCCGGTGGAACCAAAATGGCCTCCAAGGTTGCTATTGTCTCCGTACGTACCAACCGACAGTGCCCGACGTCCAAGGTGCAATTGGATGATAAACAACCTCCCAGCCCGGGGAATGTGTTTGGTTTCTCCCTCCACGGCCACCCTGCACATTGAGAAACTAGCCCATGCTGAGCTGAAGGGTATTCAAGCTGCCGGCAGCACCGCCGACATGGATATACCGGTATGGTCCCGACGTGCACCCAACTCCCGTCATCCCAGGTCTCATAACTAACAAGCTGACAGACCCCTCCGCGCCCCAAGCCCCCATCGCCGTGATCAGAGACCCGAGCAGCTCCTAGCGTCCGACGCGGCCCTTCTAGGCATCCCAGCCCGCAACTGGACGATCCCCGCGCACGCAGTGGATGGCATTCTGGGACTGCGACTGGAACGCGGGCGACTTCGTCAGCGAGTCCGTGGGCGTCTTTGTGTCGACTGTCAACGGGGACGTTGGGCGGGGGCCAGAAGGGTGCGGCGCTTGCGGCGATAGGTACACTCGCGCATCATGGGGTCGTGAATCCTTGTTGCACTTGAGTGTAAGAATGCTTCCTTTGCTTGCGGACCTGTAGGGGGTTTATAGGGCTAGGGCTCCGATGGGTCTCGCCAGCCCACCGAGCTCGAGCTCGAACTTGGGTCGCGGAGGTCCAGGGCAGGTCCTTCTGAACCATATCTTTTGTCTTAGCTTTCATCGAGCACATGGGAGATCCGAATGAAAGTTCACGGCGCCGCTTGACCACTTCCAACATTCGGTGACACTAATGGAAGATTCGAGGCCGCTCCTAGGTATGGATGGTAGCGTCAGCAGACTCAGCCTGTGGGTGGCCAAATCCGCCCTTGCCAAATATCTGATTGGGAAACTACTACCTAACCACGCTCGTCAACCTGTTATTTCTTATTTAAACGCCAAGATCAAAACACTGTCCTCCAAGCGCTCTGTGCTCTGCTCCGTCAGCGATTCTCCCAAAAGCCCATCCTTGATCACCATCTCAAGAAGGGACAATTTTAAAAAAGCTGTCCAGGGAGTGTATCACTCGGCAGTAGCTGCGCCGAATAGGGTAGTATCGAGGTGGCGAACCAATGCCTGGGCATTTGGCGATGTCTCACCTCCTGCTACGCCGCCCAAGACGTCGGTGCAGAAGTTGCAGGAGTTTGAGAATACACCAAGGATAACCAGCCCGTCTCCATTTGCGTGGAATGAGGATCCTCTCCAAGCTGACAGTGGCGAACGAGACCCTGAGAATGTTTTCTGCTGGGTTCATCCTGCTCCACCTGCCCTGAATTCGTGATTACTCAACAGCCCAGGTTCCGTCCAATAATTCACGGCGAACTGGTATAACGATATATTGATTACTGATCACCTTGATAAAGTGAGACACAGGGATATCTTGATTACTGATGGCCTTGCCACAATTAAGTGAGACACAGGGTCCGCCTCCGCCACACCTCGGAATAGCTGCAGAATTTCCTTAAACGGCAATAAATATCCCATCTCCGGCCCCGGCCCGGGCCGGATCTTTCAGCCTTGTCTTGCTGGCCGGACCTGCAGCATTAAATGATTAGTCGACATAGACCAAGCACCAGTTGTAGCTTCAAGTATAAATACAGCTGCAACGCCGCGTCTCTCTGCTACTTTTGTACAACAACCCCAAGCCAGATTCCCAATCAACTACCGTACGCCGCCTTTCAAACAGGTCCCAGACTCAGTATGTTGTTTTCTCTCCCAGCTTCCTAGCGTCGAAAATGACACACTAATCCCCCCAGCCACCAAAATGCTCACCAAAAACCTCGTTCTCCCCCTCGGCCTCCTCGCCACCGTCGCCCTCGCCAGCCCAACCCCCGACGTTGCTGCCCTGGACTCGGCCCCTGAAGTCAACACCACCGACGCCGACGCCCTGACCCTCACCAAGCGCGCCACCGGCGTCTGGCTGGACCTCTACGGCTCCGGCTCCTGCGCCGACAGCTGGCGCCCCGAGCCCCAATCCGGCTGGGTCTGGAGCGGCCAATGCAAGAACTTCGACGGGTTTACGTACGGTGCGCGCGCCGGCGCCGTTGACCAGTCGCCCGACGCGTGGTGGAACGACCAGTGCACCTTCAAGTTCTGGGAGGGCGCAGACTGCCATGGCCATGCGACCGTGCACCACCTGTCGGACTCGATCAAGTGGAAGTCTGGGACGTTTGGCGCGCCCTACCCGACGTACGAGTGCATTGCGACGTCGAACAAGGCGGACGGGACTTTCTACTTGGGCAACGGCGCTACTAGTGTGCTTATGACTTGCTAGGCGTTGGTCATAGGCCCGAGGTAGGGTATGCTGCCGCTGCGTGCCCTATTATGCCCAGGTACTCGGAATAGCGGTTATGTGGATAATGCAGGGCTTTAAGTACTTCTCCTTGGAAGTGGGTATCTTTGGTAACCATTCTCCTTGGGATTATTGGCCTTTTACTTCTGATTTGAGTTTTGGTTAATCTTTGTCTGCTTTGCTTTACTGTACCAGTTACGGAACTACACAGAATGCATGAATTGGTTCCTTCAGCTTGAGTAGTATGGCTATCAAGTACCATAGTCACTCTTGTTAATTTACCGCGATAGCAAGAGGTAGCTCTGTACAGCGGGACCGATGATAGTAAAGAACTTGTAGTACCTTGATTAGCGCCTGGTTATGCGTTATAGTGCCTCTTAGGCCGGCCTGGAGAATAAGATAGCAGGTCAATCTGAAAATATTAAGATTAACTTGACAGTCCTGTCATGATCTAGATCGTGCCTATGTCTGGATCTTGGTATGGTATCTACCTAAGCGGGTTACCTACTGTACCCTTGGGTAGAATGGAATGGGCATAACTGGTATAAAGTTACGAAGATGCATGGATTCCTCTGCACATGCTTTAAGACCGGTTTCTTCAATAAATACTGTTGCCAGAATTATCTCCTTCATTATGTTCTCTGGCAAGTAGTACCATATCTAACTAACACCCAGCTCTCACAAACAACACCATGTCGCCAAAGTGGTATACATTGCCCCCCTCGTAAACGTACAGACTCTCATACTTGGTCCTGTGGTTGGTTAATTACATACAGTGCGGGCCCTGGGGCTAAGCTTCGGCTAAGCTTTGGAGTTTGAACCATAAACCACAGTTAGTGCTCCAGTCGGGGTCTCCGTATGGTAATCGACTCCGAACTCGGATTTAGCTTATCCAATGCCATGCTTTCAATACCTTTTTCTAGTTCACCACACTAATGCTTAGTTTTGTGATGGTCAAACACCGAAGCCCCCGGTCCCCAAATTGCGCCTGCCCACACCGAACCTCCACAGCGCGGCACCCAAGGCCGGACACAAATCCCAATCGGCTGCTGCGCGTGCTTGGCCAAGCTGGTCTAAAATTGGAGAGCCTGCACCTGGCATGTCCAGGAGGCGAATATCATAAGCTTTGCCAAAGAAAGACCGCTCTCGGCCTGGTAGACGCCCATTTCGACTTGCTGGCGAACAAGTTCCAGTTTATATGCCTGTCCGCGCTGTCGCTGCACCAAATCATGACCTCGCTATCGACCTTCACGAGATTTCTAGAGACCGCCCATCCCACCCTGAGGGAGTTGACAATGAACAAGATAATCTGGACAAATGATCGACACTTTGATAACCACGAAAAGCAAGCCAAGGACGAAGAGGCAGTTCGGCTCATGCGCCTTATCGCGGTCCATCTTCGCGACTATAGTGCCCTCCGGCTGCTGGAGATAGGCACTTGGACCTACCAGGATGTGAAAATCGCTTTCCAAGATCCGTTCGACCGCGATAGAGACTCGTTTCTCGCGTTGTATAATGCGAAGTACGCCACTGTACCCTATAGAGAATAGATTGATCAGCTTTGCTTTGAGGTCAAGGCGCCATCAGGCAGGCGAAAGAGACGAATCGAGCCTCGGGACTTCATATTGATTGAGGGGTAGGATAACTCCTAGAAGTGTTCTCTGCTCATAGCGTTGCATTACGAAGGCCGCTGGAACTGGACTCCATGTCTGGCTACTATGCCCGGGTCGAGGTTGGTAGAAGCAATGGATGATGTGAGGCTTAGGATTGTTTTCTGGCAGTTGGTTTCTTGTAGCTGGTTGGTGAAGGCGGATTCAAACCAGGGATTTTACCTAGGTAGGAACGCTTTGGTGACGATTAGTGTACCCTTAACCGTACGATTCCCACCACGCTTCCTGGTCTTGGGGTTAGCAGATACAAAGTCGACTTTCGTGGGATGAACACCTTGACCACCCATGACGTTTCAGAATAATCCAAAAGAAGACTCACTTTCACTTGCTTTTCACCATGTCTTGGATGTTCACCGCCGTTGAAATGAATGGATCTCTACACTTAATAGAGAGCGTTTACCGGGCTTGAGCATTGGCTTATATTGATTCTACGTTAACTGCCAGTTATTAATGGCCAGAATTTACAAGATCTGTCGGAGCGTAGTATACTGCTTGCCCTACTACAGCCCTTGCCTATTAGCTTAGTTAACCACATTAAATATAGCTTTACTATCGTGGCCTAGCTAAATATAATTTTTAAGCTTTTATTTTTAAAAAATTATATGCCTTAAATAGCTTTTTTTATTAAAATATTATATTTATTTATATATAACTGCTTTTTTTATTACTACCTTTTTTTAAAATTTATTTACTTTAAATATTTATTAAGTTAAAAATATTTTTATGCGGTATTACGATTTTTAATTATTTAATATAAATTTTTTAATTATTTACTTTATATAACTTTTATATTATTTTTATATATTAAGGCTATATAAAAATTTATTTATAATATAGCTAATATTATTATTATTATTTTTAACCTTTATAAAGTTATTACATGGCTTAATAATTAAAAAAACTATTATTTATAATATAATTTTTTTTAAAATTATACTTTAATTTAAACTACCTTGTTTTTAGCTTATTATTATTAAAAAAGTTTTTTTTTTATAAGTATTTACTAAAACAAGCTATTATTATTATAAAATATATTAATAAAAATAATATGGCTTAAAATTAAGTTACTAAGCTTATTATTAAAAACTAAATTAATATTTAAACTTTTTAAAATATTAAAATAAAAGTAAAGTAAGGGTGCTAAATATGATATAATTTTTTTTTATTATTATTTTTATAATTAATACTTTATATATAATATATAAACTAAATTTTTAGTTTTTAAAATATTACTTAAGCCTTTTATTACTTATAAAAGCTATATAACTTATTTAGCGCTAGTTTTTTTTTTTAAAAAAGCTAGTAAATACTTAATATAATAAAATATACTAGTTAATAATTAAAATAATTTTTTATAAAGTTTAAAAATACTATTACTAAGCTAGTAATTATTTAAACCCTTAATTAATAGGTTATATAATATTTTTTTATTATAATAATTTTTAGCTTATATAATATATAGTTTTTTATTACTTAGTTATATATAATATTTTATTAAAATATTAATAATATTTATTTACTTTTTTATAATTTAAACTTAACTAAATATAAATATTTAAAACTACTTATTATACTACTAATACTATTAGCTACCCTAGTTATAATAGCTTTATTTTTATTAAAAATTATAGTATTATATAGTGTATATATTACTAGTTATATAATAATTATTTTTTTTTACCTATATTAGGAATCTAGTAAATACCTAATTAAAAAATAAAGGTAACTTTAAAAGCACTAGTGCTAGCGCTTGTTAAGGCCGCGGTAATAAATTTAAATACTATAAAGGAAGAAAAGGTAAAAAAGGCCGTGGCGCCTTTATTTTTATAAATATTATATAAGTAAAAAATACTACTACTAGTGCTTTATAATAATTAGCTTAGGGATTAACTTAAAGTTTTTTATTAATATTTTTACCTAATACTTTACAGGCCTTTCCAGGCGCTAATATAGTTAGTATTAACTTTAACTTTATATATATAAACTTTGTGTTTATAAAATTATTAAATTTTAGTATTAATAAGCTAAATCTTTATATTAAATTAACTTATATAAATATTAAACCAGCTACTAATAATAGTTAAATACTTAATTTTAATACCTTTTATTATATAATATACTTTAAGCATAACTTTATATTATTTAAATATGCTAAAGTTTTAGTTAAAATAGTTAATAATAATAAGTTTTTTACTAAAGGCTATAATAATATTATATTAGGTATTATTAATAAGTTTAGTATATAATAAATTAAAATTTTTTTATTAAAAAATATTTAGTATATACCTAGCTTAACTTATAATTTATTATTAATTAAATAGCTTATAAATAATAATATTTATATAATGTAGTGGGGTTGCACCCTAATATTAATTTTTATAGTACTTATAGCCTTACTACCTGCCTTTTATACCTAGTTTATTATTTACCTTAATATATATATATTTTTTTTACTATTATTTTTACTTATGCTATATACTATTTAGTTTTAGGTTACTATTATTATTTAGCTTTTTTAGCTTTTATACTTTAGTATTATTATTTTATATATTAGTAACTAACATAGGGCATGTTTTTTTAATATTATAAGGGTAAAAAGGGTGTTTATTAAACCCTTAAATTAAAAGTTTTTAATATTAATAGCTATACCTTGGTAACTTAAGTACTTAAAAGTATTAAAAAAAGGGGTAAAAAACTATTAAAGCCTAAAAATTAAAAAAAATTAAATAATAAGTATAAATTAAACCTAATAAAAAAGGCAGGTAAGCCATGCTTAAAGCACCCTAGTAATTTTTAAAAAAATAATAAATTAAAAAATTTTAAAAAATACTAATTACCTAATAAATATAATAAATTAAATAATAAAATTAGTAAAGCTAATATAAATATAGCTAGTAAATTTAAAGTAAAGCTTTTAAAGGCCTACCTAGGTAATTATATTAAATACCTAATAATAAAATAAAAATATTTTATAAGTTTTTTTTTATAATTATAAAATTTTATTTTTTACTAAGTATTTATAAACCTAGCCCTTTAAAAAATTATTTAAAAATTTTAATATATATAAGCCTACTACCTGCTTATTAACTTTTATTATTAAATAAAAATATTTTATATATTTAAGTTTTTAAGCAAGAATAGTAATAAAAATATTAAGTAAATATTTATGCTTATAACTAAAAATTTTAGTAATATATTTCCTGTGGCTAAGGGTAAGCCTAATAATATTATTAATAAAATTTATATATTTTTTAATAACTCCCGCGGTAGTAATACTAGTACCTTTAAAAATATAAAAAATATAATAAAAAAAAATATTATTTTTTATTAATTATTTTTCTACTAATTCCTGGTACTTTAAGTATACCTATATTTAATAATAAAAATATAATTAAGTTTTTAAAGGTATACAAGCAAGCCTGTAAAAACTAAAATATTTATAATAAATTAAAAAAAGTTATTTAAGTAACAGGCTACTATAGTTATAGTATTTTAAATATTATTAAAAACCTAAAAGGGTATGCTAAATAAGATTAAAAGGTTTTAAAAACTATTATACTAAATAAATACTAGTATTTTAATTAGTGCTAAATTAAGTAATTATACTAGTATTTTAAAAAATTTAAAAGCTAGCTATATATATAAATTAATAACCTTTATAATTATATTATAAAATATAATATAATTTTAGCTTAAGTTATATAAATTAGTAAATTAAATAATTATATTTAATATATTTAGTCAACTTAAGGCCTTTTAAGTAACCTAGCCTAATAAGTTTTTAAAAAATTTAGGTTAAAGGTAAAAAGCTACTACTAGCTTAAATATAAAATAATTAAAAAGTATATATTAAATACTTTTATAATAAAAAAAACTATACCTTAAGGTTAATAAAAAGGTTATTATATTTTTTAAAAAAAAAGCTAAAAAAAATTATATTTTAAATACTTTTAAATATATAGCTAGTATTTTAGTAGCTAAAAAACCCCTAATTTTATTTAATAAAATTATAAGCTAGTAAAAAAGGCACTTTAGTCTTACTTAAAATAACTTTTAAAAAATTATAAAAGCTATTAAAATATTATAACTAAATCTTAAAGTTATAATAGCCTAGTAAGTATAATAGCCTTTTTACTTTTTAAATATATAATAAGCGCCGCCCCCCTAAGTATTTATATATTAAATTACCATGTATATTTCCCCTTAAATTAAAGCTATTTTTTAGTAATACCCGCCCTAGTAGTACTTATTTTAATAATACTTATTTTAATAATACCCGCCCTAGTAATACCCGCCTTAATAATATTAAGGTTAATAATACCTATTTAATAATATATTAATACTTTTGGTTTAAGCGCCCCTGCCTTATAATAATTACTATTATTATAAAATCTTAAAATATTATATAGGCACTTATATTATATAAGTAATAAATATAGTAAATAAAATATATTATAAAAATTTAAATATTAATAAACTATATATTAGTAAGGTAAAAAATAAAAAATTTAAAATTAAAGGCTAGCTTAAAGTACTAATAATAAACTAAGTACTAAAAGTTATTAAAAACTAGTTAAAGCCAAAGTTTTTAAGGGTAAATATTAGTATTATTAAAGCCTTAATTATTAAGCTTATAAATATTAAAAACCTAGAAAAAAATACTAAAAATAGTAAAGACTTTAATTATAAGTTTAATAATTTAATTAAGGTATAATTATAGTTATTTATAGTTAATAAATAAGTTAAAAAATATAAAGTTATTAATAATAAGTACCCTATTATTTAATTAGTAAGATTTAACTAGCATGTAAACAGGATAATTAAAAAGTCCAAGCTTTTAAAAAATATAAAAAAATAGCCCTAGGTAAAAAAAGTAATAA